AAATGGGATTACAGTAATAATGATAAAACAATGCGTGTTAATAGCCGTTGGTTAATAATTTAACGTATAGGTAGTAAGTATGTTGTGTTTAGAAATATTAAAGTAATGAATATTGTAGAAATGTTAATATTGGTATTAGTTTCGGTTTAAATTATGAAATCAAATAACGATTATGCCGGTAAGTTGTCCATATGAATTGATTTCCAATTGCATCTGTATTAGTAGGCTAACTGAAGGAACAAAAGTATTACCGTGGAGAATTCCAACTAGTGTTCCAGTTAGTTTGATACGGTTTATTTAGTTACGGGGAGATTTCCTCAACCTCATTTTTACTTGACCGTGATAGAATTTAGTAATACTACTAATACACATGAATGGTTATCAAAACAAAATTTGAATACGTGAGTGATGATTATATGAATTTGGGACAGATAGCTAGGAACAAATCGTTAAACATGAGTGTATTCGTTAGAGACATGCTCTAGACTCAATGTTCTGCGTTGCCATAGACTATTTATACATATTTATATCTGACGGCTGATTAAGCATACAAGTTAGTGGGAAGTATGCAGTTTATCATAAGGCGAAATACGATTTAATTGAGATATAGTGGTTATAAGTTATTAAAATCAGTTAAGCCTATGTGTCATATTACGAAGTGATGTGGTGCTGCAAGATTTAGCTAAATAAGTTTTTACAAGATGATTAATAGTTAGTGATGCTCATGTGATTATCAGGGAGAACACAAGTTGTAACCAAGAAGAGTACACTCCCAACTCGTGTCTATGATAATGGCTTGAACCTTAGTCAGTGTTGGGGTAAATTCGACATTGATGTTTTCAGTTTGCAGGAGATTTGCTCGACTGCTTATACTGATTATTTGCATGCATGATTGTGTCGCTAAACCATCAATTAGACTGACAAGGTTTTGAGATATTTACTGAATGAGCAACTGAGAGAGAAACATACTGTAATTATCTGTGATGGATGAAGATACCAAGAAAACAACACCATTTAATGGTAATTATAAGTCAATTTGTTGACCGATTTCGTTAATAGTTTCATTAATTTTATCAGTCATATTACGTGATTGTCAAGTTATGACAATGCTTTATGACGATAACCTGAAACTATTATGTTAAACTAGTTATAGTGTTGATTGAGGATTAGCCACTGGAAAAATAGGTATTTTTGCTTTAGGTGATTCAAAATTATCAGAAATTTGTGATGTTACAGAATCCGAGACGCCTAATTATATTACAATTTTCAATTCAGAAATATTCGTTTAGTGGTAATTTTAGTAGGCTACGGAGTTTTGATTTTAAACGTTTGTTTAGCCAACAGCTACCTAGGGAATTAGTTATTTTACTAGTGCAGTTGATAATACCTAAATTTTTAATCTTATTATTCAAACTATGTTCACATTTTAGGCTGCTAATATGATAAACCAATCCATAAACCCAAATACGATAAGCAACAACGACTATGATGGGTTTATTGATAAATGTTAAAGGCGATTCAGATGATTCCTAAATTTAGAAGACATGAAGATATAGTGTAACGTATGTGCGGGCCAGGTTAACAAGCAGGTTGTTGACGTATATGACAATTTAAAAATAATGATCACGACCAGACTGCTTATGAAACTTTAGGCAGGAATATGACGATTTATAACTATTCCATAAGAAGTTACTGGATTTAGCCTAGGGACACTTACAAATATGTAGCAGAAGCAACTGGAAAATATATACATGTTATGTACAAAACAAATCATCCAGTAAAATAGTTGAACTCGCCTTGATTATTTTTGAAAATTAGATAATTCAGTGGACGACATATGTAACGCCATTCGTGAGTAGTATTTATCCAAAAGCATTCAGAATAAAACATGCAGTATGGCAATTAATTCCAGGGTGCTTGATGCTGTTGAGGTTTTTGCCACTCGCTCGGATCAGAACAATCGAATAAACCCAGATAATTGTGTGGTTGTCATTGAACGAACCATCTGAAAATGACCTTGTGATTGCAGAAAACTTATAGCTGAAACTCACCGTGTGTTTTTGGAGAAGTGTCACCCTTGTTGTTTGGCAATGGAACTCGAGAATATGAAATTAGGCAGGCAGTGGTCGGAAGAAAGATATTACAGGATAGTGCATAGTTTAAAACAGGATGAAGTGTTAACCGAATGAACACTAAGAATTAGATCCAGATAACTATTCAATCCTTGATTGCATTGTTAGTCAATGTATATTTACGCTATTTATAGATATAGCTAGATGTTTAAACAAGTTTATTCCGCAGAAGCATGTAAATGCTATTAAAGCTTGTTAATGAACCATCAAAGCTAATTGATATAGATAACCGGTTATTTGTATCGATTGAGTTAGTATGTTATGAGTAATAATCAATATAACATTACGATAATACATGTGAGCATTAATCAGAGGACTATTAGAATGCTGGGTTAACATAAATATAAAATCGATCGAGAACGTTAATGTGGAAATAAGGATTATCGGTAATAGGTTGCTTTTCTTTAGTCGGGCTTACCAATGTAGAACCATGGTCTACTATGATATTAGTACTGCTCTAATAATAGACCTAATCCTAAACTTGTCGATTTGTCATGATATAACTGCCTAATCTATAAGATCTTACGTGGAAGTCACACCATCGACTACACCAACTCACTGTATCGTGTCAATTACCAATACATGATGAGGAACAAGGTTAGGCTAGAGAAAGAACAATATATTTATTATGAATAGAAGATATAAAGTAACACTGAGATGGACCACGCCTGCATGGTCGAGCCATGCCATCCGATCAACTCCAGTCCATTTTATTCATTGTTCGCGCCTACTCCATTGTTAGGTATTTCCCCGAGTTAAATATTGAATATCTATTTTCTGAGTAGTCTCGTGTTCACAGCTTTGTGGATTGTGTGGCTATTGTCCAATGCCACTACAACGTCACACTCTGCTGCATACCAACTCGACAAGCAACGGTGTAAATAATAAGTCTGGAACCCAGAATTGCTGTGGACTTACTGAATCCCTAAATAGTCAAGTGTGCTTAGGAATGATTCCTCTGCGGTTGATTTTAGGAAACGCCGAAATGGTGGGTTATGCCTTGTTGGATAACGGGTCCGATGTGATGTTGATAAAATCGAGCTGTTCGAGGTATCTCGGGCTGAAGGAAGACCGAGCGTCAGTGGTAGTAGAGACTGTGAGTGGTAATAGGACAATGACGGTCGCAAGGACACCTTTTGGTGTATATTCGTCAGATCGGTCCGAACATGCCACGATCGAAGGAGCTCTGATTGCGGCAGGTATACCAGGTCATAAGCCAACAAGGGCGGCGGTGAACAACCTAGTTAAGTGGTCACATTAAAGGGATGTACATATAGATAACTTAGACTCTGAAGAAGTTCTGCTGTTGATTGGTTGCGACGTGCCAGAAGCACACTGGGTGTTAGATCAGCGATTGGGTGGAAGAAAAAATCCGTACGCTGTGAAAACATTGCTGGGGTGGACGGTCTTCGGACCTGCATCGTATCCGGATTATAGGAAAAGAGTGGTTAATCACACCAGTAAGATACAGACATTAGAGAACGAAGTACGTAAGTTTTATGACGCAGAGTTTTCCGATGCTTGTCCAAATGATAAATCATTATCGGTAGAGGATAAGGCAGCTATAAAGATTGTGGAAGAGGGCACGCACTTCGACAACGGTCATTTCGTAGTTCCTATACCATGGAAAGAGAATCCAAGTAGGAAAGTGGGAAACTATGAAGTAGCCAACAGTAGGTTACAGAATTTGAAGCGCAAACTGTTGAAGGTTAACAGTTTACACGTAAGGTATACCAAAGGTATTGAAAGTAATTTTACAAAGGGCTATGCAAAGAAGGTACCCGAACTACAATTGCAACCGAATTACCGTCCCCGGTGGTATTTACCTCATCATGCTGTGTTAAATCCGAAAAAGCCAGAAAAACTTAGAGTGGTCCTTGATTGTGCCGCCGAGTTTGCAGGGGTTTCCATGAATGATATGATTTATCAAGAACACGATACCACTGCTGAGTTAATGTGCATATTATTAAGTTTTTGCAAGAAGACAGTTGCAATCTCGGCAGATATTGAAGAAATGTTCTTGCAAATGAAGGTCCCTGAGTCTGGTCGAGGAGCCTTAAGATTTCTGTGGTAGCAGGAGGGAGACATGTCAAAGGAACCATCTGAGTTTCAAATGACATCTCATCCATTCGGTGCCACATCATCTCCATTTTGTGCAAACTTCGCCTTGAATAAGACGGCCCAAATATTCTCCGACGGTTATGATGGTTATGTCGTAGATGCTGTCAAGAATAATTTCGATGTTGATGATTGCTTAATATCCTTTCCTACTTGTGATCAGGCAAAGAGTTTTGTTAAGCAAATAAGTGAATTATTATGTAGAGGAGGTTTTAAACTAAAGAAGTGGTTCACCAACTCGGAGGAAGTAAGGACCATCTTGTCTGATGTATGCAAAGAAGAGTCTTTGATAGAAATGTCAACGAGTTATGACACTACCCATTGAACTCTAGGAGTAGAATGAGATTTTAAACAAGATGTATTCAAGTTTTAATTCGATGCACCTGAAAGGCTGTAGAATTATGGTCTACTATGATATTAGTACTGCTCTTATAATAGACCTAATCTTAAATTTGTAGATTTGTCATGATGTAACTGCCTAACCTATAAGATCTTACGTGGAAGTCACACCATCGACTACGCCAACTCATTGTATCGTATCAATTACCAATACATGATATGCCCGAAATTTCTTGGCTGCCAGTCAAAGCGCCGAGACGTTATGAATCATTTATTGAATGTCTAGAGCTTGGACAATGGACTCAGTATGTCGATAGCCCTACCAGGCATCAAAACATCTTAGACTTAGTCTTTACCAGTGGCCTCATCCCCAATACTTTGTATATTGGAAAAAAGTTCCCAGGTAGTGATCATAACATTGTCATATGCAGCCTTAATGTAAAAACCACAACCGATAGAAGTAAAACCGTAACACTTCGTAGAAACTATCGCAAGGTTGATTGGAATAACTTCCACAATTACCTAAGAAGCACTGATTGGAGAACTTTCTTTACCTCAAACAATACCGACACATTAACCAATATATTTTATCACAACATCAAAAGTATCATCAACAACACCGCACCTTTAGAATACTGTAAACCTACGTTCTCCAAAGATCTCTATATACCGGTCAGTACAAGAAGACGTCTTCAAAGACATTGTACTCGATTCCACAACTTAAATGACTTTTCCCCTTTAGTAACGATGACAGAAATACTTGTCCGAACAGAGGCAATAAGTAAACAAAAAGCAGTAGAACAGGAAAAACGTGCAGTTGAACTTAATAATAACTCCTCTGCACTCACCATACTACTCCAAAATAAACTTAAACGCTCTAAATCGAGAGGGAGTATACTCATTAAAGGCAAACAAATATACGAAGATCCCAAACTTATCACAGAATTATTTAGTGAACATTTTTGTTTCTCACTAACTAACGAAAAACCATTTAATGAGTCAGAACCAATCCCAGTAACTCCCTGTGAAATTACTAATGTAGAATTCAGTGTACAAAATATCTCCAAAGCAATCAGTACATTGAAACACTCCTACACTGATGGACCAGATGGTATTCCATCTAGCATGCTAAAACGCGGAGGTGATGATATGTGTGTTTTGCTTCTCAAACTATTCGCGATATCACTCTCTTCAGCGTGTTACCCTACTGCCTGGAAAACTACACATATCATTCCCAAAATTAAAACAGGACCTGAAGCAAACGTTGAAAATTACCGGCCTATAAACATAACTTCAGTGGTATCCAGAGTGATGGAAAAAGTAGTTAAGGCGGCTGTAGTCCAACATCTATTAACTAACAATCTCTTGTCGACCTCCCAGCATGGATTTCTTAGGTCCAGATCATGCGATACATGCCTAGTAGACTACCTGAATGATATAACTCTGAAACGAGACAGCGGACTCCTTGTATCAGTCCTATTCCTAGACTTTAAGAAAGCCTTTGATAAGGTCCCACACAAAAGGCTACTCGTCAAACTAAAGTCCTTCGGAATACACAACCCACTGTACTCATGGTTTGCTTCGTTCTTAACAGAACGTAAACAGATGGTAAAGTACAATGACTGTCTCTCGTCCCCTAGACCAATCACCAGTGGAGTCATCCAGGGAAGCGTATTAGGGCCACTTTTGTTTCTTATGTATATAAACGATATATGTAACACCATAGAATTTGGGAAACCGTACTTATATGCTGATGATCTCAAAATAGTATACAGCTATAAGCCTGAGACACTAAGCGAAAGTGTATCCCAGATCCAAAAGGACCTCAATAACTTAACTATATGGAGTGAAAAATGGCAATTACCATTTAACCTCAACAAGTGCGGGATCATGCACTTTGGAAAGCATCCCTATAAACCGCGACTTCACTTAAATGAATGTATAGTCCAAACACTCGAATCAGTACACGATTTAGGAATTAATTACACAGGAAGCCTAAACTTTGAAGAACATGCCTCTTCTATTATTTCTAAATCTAGACGGCTAATTGGTTTTATAATGAAAAACTTTTTCACAACAGAGGGTAAACTTACTCTCTACAAAATATGTGTACGACCCACCCTTGAATACTGCTCTTTTGTCTTCTTTAATATGAATATCGCAGACAAGATAAGAGTAGAAGATGTTCAAAGACGTTTCACACGTCAACTACTAGGATGTAACTCGAATCTCGATTACACAGACAGATGTAAGCATCTATCTTTAGAACCTTTATGGCACCGTAGGCTAAAACACAATTTAATATTTCTCTACAAAGCGATATATGGGCTCTCCTTTTTAACCTCCTGCCCGACTATCACCCACGACCCACCCTATAGACTTAGAAACAACGCATATACACTACTTACCGTAAAACACCAAAAACAAATGCGTTGTAAGTTCTTTACAGTACGGTACAGTTTATTGTGGAACAGGCTGGCAATGCCTATCCGTAACTGTGATACGTTTACCAGATTCAAAAAGCTAATAACCCTATTTCTAGACTCCAAAGAGCTTCAACATTACCTTGAACTCCCGCCCACCGATGAGGCACTTTATTACGGACCGCCTAGTATCTAGAAAGAACAGAATTATAACAAGTTCGACTGTTACTAATCTAAATATAACCAAATCACAGGATATATGGCTTATCCTTTCCTATTATTCATTGTTTATTAATCATGATTTCATGCTCCTAACCCTAGCTTTCAGTCCCCAAATCTCTACAGGTTAAATGTGCATTATTCTTCCTAAAAGTCATGCTTTTTTTTCTACTGCAAGTAGACAGATAGCTCAATCTTATGGATGCTGATCTACTAAGGCCGATCATTCAAAGCTCAAAATTTGGCCACAAAGTCTTGTGAGTTTCTCAATGTTTTATTTTTCTCACCCTAAAGTCTTTTTCTTTTTTTTCTACAATTTTATACCCTCTCATATCTTTTGATTTACTATTAATCCTTACTTCTTTAAACCATTAGTTATTTTCATAGCAGTGTGATATACTATATGGACATCTAACCCATAAAGCAGAATTTTTAAATATCTGATTTGCTTGTAACATGGACCTAGTAGAGACAGTGTACTCCAACTATGTGCTTTGATTAAAGCATTAATCATACTTACCACAAACGTAAGAGAGCCTAACATCACAAAAGGAGGGAGGGTGGCGTTACTGACCAGCAAACATGAAGGTGGGGAGATAACTTCAATCCACCCATGTCTGTAGGGCAGAACATTTTGTTTAATTACGGCTCCTTATGGTTTAGTGGGATGTCACGGACTTAAGGTATTGAAGCTGATCTATCACGCAAAATACCTCTTTAAATCGTGTTACGAACGTTGAATTGGTTTCACTTCCTACTCAGAAATCCTATTACAAGCAAACTAGACAATTCGCTAATATACGAAGCCTACTCAAGACCCTATAAAACCTGAAAAAAAAAGAAATAAAAAAAACGAAAGGGGCTCTAATAGCTTCGATAATAAAAGGAAGATAGCCAGTTGTATATCACAATACTGTTTCTAGCACTATATTTTATTTTATAATCACACATAATCTTATACTCTCAGCTCTTTTCCGAATCCCCTCCATTTGTCAGTTGTATGTCCACTCACACCTTGCTAAAGCTTATTTTCTTTAACCTATTAAAATGCTCTTTCTTAACAAATATCTTAATAAAAGAAAATTAGACTGAGTAATCATACCTTAAACATTCCTACATGAATATTGGCTACTCTGCCTCTCGTGTTTTCTTTTACTTGCTCCCTCTTTCAGCCCCCTTGAGATATGGAACAGGTTACTTCATCCTGCACCATCCTTAAAGCCTTCGATATCCCAAAGGGACATAAGGTTGCGATTTCTAGAAGCTCATACCTTTGATGGGCCTATTCTTGACCATCAGTCGCACATTCGCAACGCAACTCTCGTGAAGCGCGCCAACTATAGTACTGATTAAAACTACCTACATACATGTCTTATAAATTTTCAACCCAGCTATGTAATTTAATACAGTGTATATTGTATCATTTGTATCAATTTGATCTTGCCTGTAAACTGGCATGCCTCATGTAACAAACTGTTATTTGAGAATAAATTATTATTATTATTATTATTATTATTATTATTATTATTATTATTACATGATGTAGAACAAGGTTAGGCTAGAGGAGGAACAATATATTTAATATGAATAGGAGATATAAGATAACACTCAGATGAACCACGCCTGCATGGTCGAGCCATGCCATCCGATCAACTCCAGTCCATTTTATTCATTGTTCGCGCCTACTCCATTGTTAGGTATTTCTCCGCGTTAAATATTGAATATCTATTTCCTGAGTAGTCTCGTGTTCACAGCTTTGTGGATTGTGTGGCTATTGTCCAATGCCACTACAAGGCCTCTGACTAGGAGAGGGATTCTATCTATAGTTTCTTTTCTGTTCGATCCTTTGGGTTTAATTGCTCCAGTCTGTCTTACTGCCAAGGTTCTTTTGCAAAAACTATATAAGTCCCAAATAGGCTGGGATCAGCCTCTCAACGTGCCATACGTGTCTGGGTGGCTAAATTGGGTATACTTTATGCGTCAAATAGGTCATGTTACGGTAGCTAGGGGTATTAAGAAGAGAATTGACGAACCCGAAGCGGAACTAGAATTGCACCTGTTCAGTGACGCTTCAGAGATCGATTATGGAGCAGTCGCGTACGCACGAGTCAGTTATTTGAAGGAACAACCCTACTGTATTTTGTTGTGCAGCAAGTCTAGGGTAGCATCTATCAAACAGGTCACTATACCGAGGCTTGAAATGGCGGTAGCAGTGTTAAGCGTGAGGCCTAGTGAAGTCTTACAGAGAAGCCTGCCTAATTTTTTCTGTAAGGTAAACTTCTATACAGATTCCATGGTAGTGTTGTACTACATCAAGAATATCGAGAACCGCTATAGCACCTATATAGCCAACCGCCTCGCCATTGTGCACCAGTATACGAAAATTTAACGATGGAGTTATGTAAAGTCGTCACAGAATCCAGCTGATTGGACCTCGAGAGGTATACAAAAAATGTCAGATCTTGAGCTTTGGTTCAAATGTCCTACCTTACTGCATGGCGAATTTTGTACAGCAATCACTGACTGTACGGAACCTACTCTTGACGATATTGAGTTTAGAAAAACTGCTGTGGTTAACTTGAGTAGTATAAAGTACAACATGCCAGCTATTCTTTATAATTATTCTGAGAGGTTGAAATTAGTCAGGGCTGTAGCCTGGCTTAAAAGGTTCTTGGAATTCCTGATAGTACTTCGTTCACCGAGTTATGAAAGATCCGTTCATCTAGGATGTTTAAAGGTCAAGGAGCTTGACATCGCCAAGCGTAAAATTCTATTGATGGTTCAGAAAGAGGTGTATGGAGAAATATTTAGTGGATTTAAAAACAGTGGTAACGTCACAATGATCTGAAGGACTTATAACCGATAATACTTGATGGGTTACTCTGCGTCGGAGGTCGACTAAGCTACTCAGAGTTCCCAAATGCCTTTAAACACCCAATAATATTGCCCAGTCGACACTTAGTGACAGAAATGATAATTAGACATTATCATAAGGAACAAGGACACACAGGAACATCACGATCCGAAAAAGGTATTGGATAATAAAAGGAACCAGCACGGTTAAGAGAGTGATAGGAAAGTGTGTGACATGCCGGCGGTTTACGGTGAATACAGGACGACAGTTGATGGCGCCGCTTCCAGTTTGTAGAGTTCAACCAGGATGGTATAGCTTCTCAGCCGTGGGAGTAGACTACTTTGGACCCCTTGTGGTCAAGAGAGGAAGATCATTGGGAAAAAGATATGGATGCGTATTTACTTGCTTGCAAACCCAAGCGGTACATATTGAAATGACACATAGTTTGAATACTGATTCGTTTATAATGGCCTTGCTACGTTTCATTGGAAGAAGACGGAAACCTGCAGACATTTACAGTGACAATGGGTCAAATTTCGTGGGTGCAGTCTCTGAACTAAGAAGATTCGTGCAACAGTTGAATCAGCAGAAAATAGACAAAGAACTGTCAGCTAGGCAGATTCAGTGGCATTTTAACCCGCCCTCATCCAGCCACAGGGGTGGAGTCTGGGAGAGGATGATTAGGTCCATACGTCGACTGTTATTATTGATAACTAGAGAACAGACTTTAACCAATGAGACCCTAGGCACTTCTTTGATTGAGATTGAAAGGTTATTGAACGATCGACCCTTAACTCCGATCGTTCAAGGTGCTATCGATAAACTAGCCTTGTCGCCAAATAGTTTGTTATTATTGAGAGAATGTGACGGAATAGTCGAAGAAGGTAGCATCAGAGATAAATATGACAAACGTTGGAAACAGGTTAATCATCTTGCTAATGTGTTTTGGAAAAGGTGGTTAAGAGAGTATTTACCGTTCCTTCAGAAACGTCAAAAGTGGTTAGTTGAACACGGGTGATCTTATCCGCAACGCAACCATGTAAACTTAGTGTATCGCACACTGTCCTTTGTGCGTTCAAGTAACCACAGATTTTGTCATTTCATAATGTATTTTTAATTAAATAACTAGATTATGTAGTTAATTCTTCTCTGTTTTTAATTTTTATTCGCCACATCTGACTGCGTTACACTGTACGTCCATTGCACGCTGAGTCATAGTGAGTTTATTCACATAGTTGATTGTTTCCAGATAGACTGTTAGTGCATGATTTTACTGAAGAAAGGTTTGTTGTACTGTAAACTATGTTTCTATGATCAACTCCCTGTTGTCTTCAGTATGAATTCATACTGAATACTGCTTTAAAGCAGTATATATGTATCCTTCTTTTTTTCTTAGGTAAGTTCAACTGGCCTATATTCCGTGTTTTGGTTTTATCGGCTGAAAAATGTCCATTTAACTACTTTGAGCAACATGTCTTTGCAAGTGAAACAATAACTATGACACTTGCTTAATTTAGTGTTCGTGGTTGTCGTATAATTCAGTTTAGTTGAAAGAATTATGATATAATTAAGTATAGTGCTTGAAGCCTGTAACGAAACAGATCAGTTTAGTAAGTAGAGTTGCCTGTTTCCAATGTGTATACGGATTCAGATCAGTCTGATTAAAAATAGGAAAAAACGTGCCTTTGATGCTGTCCCAAACAACACAAAAAGGGGAAATAAAGGGGGAAAAAGGGGAAATAAAGGGGTAAATGCTATGGTAGCAAAAGGGGAAATATAGGGGAAAACGCATCAGAATGTCGCCTTTTTCGCCTGTCCGGGGGAAATAATGCGGATTTTCCCCTTTTTCGCCTTTTTGTCGACAAATTACGGACTTATCGCCTAAATATCCGCTAAATTGTCGCATTTTCGCCTAAATATCCGCTGAATTGTCGCATTTTCGCCTAAATATCCGCTGAATTGTCGCATTTTCGCCTAAATATCCGCTGAATTGTCGCATTTTCGCCTAAATTTCCGCTGACTTGTCGCATTTTCGCCTAAATTTCCGCTGAATTGTCGCATTTTCACCTAAATATCCGCCGAATTGCCTACTTATGCGCTTAATTGTCTACTTTTCGCCTAAATACACACGTTACCTACTATTTTCTATCCATCAACAGAACCCCAAAGGTCTCCTATGTTCGCCTTCATTTTCAACAACAGACCAAAATATATCTGCAATGCAGTGGAAAAGCGGTAAATATTTCAAAAATTTTATTGAAAAATAAAAGCGTATTATTGTACAACAGAAGAGCACAAGCAGAAGCATCGATTGTTATGCATATCCAATGCAATTGGTAATACATTGTTATTTGAAATTATCTGAAAAAAAACGAACAGGTTATAATGTATTCATAAGAAATGTGCATTTAATCAATAGTTCACTTAAACTCAAACACCCATTCTCAACACTTCAACAGTTTCCCATGTAGGTAAAACAGTAAGCTGTTTGAAAGAATAATGTTTATTGAAATGGAGGTACAACATCAAAGCAATTGCACGGACTAATCACAATTGGGGTAGTCGTCCTGTGAATTCTGAATTTTAAAAAAAAACAAAAAAATAGTCACAACCATATCTCAATGACATGCTTTTGCACAACCAAATACTTGAAGCTGAACTTACGGTTATGTTCGTCAGTATTGTTGACTGTAACTATAGAGCCGTAGGGATGTTATAACTTTAAATTAGTACCTACCTGATTTTCTTTTCTTCTATTTCGTTTTATCATCTTGTCTCGGAGGTCGTGAAAGTAACCTTGTGTCGCTATGTCGTATAGCTTACCAAGGTCTTTCTCATTTACAGAGGATGACAAAAAACGATGAGTTAAGGCACCTGAAGTTTAAGTAATAGATATACGTTACTTCGTATGCAGCTGTAAAACGTGCATTTATGTAGTGCTCGTTTAGAAGAGGTGCCAAGTAACGTGAATTTACTGGCAACCTCCGGTGTCAGCAGATGCGACAGAATAAAACGCATGGACGTTTTGCGATTCACGAACTTCGTTGAGCACAAGTTCACTTCAGTACATCCTATAAGAAATATATTCACGTACGAATTTAATGTTCATACCACTATTAGCTGGAAGCCTTTGATTGAAGTTGCTAGTGGACGGTGTACTAATCGAAGTACTTTCATTACAACTGACTTCTCTCTTTACTTATATCAATTAAGTAAACAACATTGTTAAACTCAGTTACCTTTTACGGTGCTTTCATTCGCAAACTCACTGACCGAAGGAAAGTGATATTTTTTCATGAAAGCAGCTCTCATTTTATTCCACCTCCGATTATAAGTGGTTCTGTGACAACCAAGGGAACGTGACAAGTTCACAGTTGCCCTACGTCTACGAACATTCTCACTGATATCAGAAAAAGTCATATTATTGGCCTAAGAAGGTAATCAGTCACAATGAACCTAAAGTCCTGAGAGCACGTCACTCACCTGCATCACGTAAGTTTTTTGTGATGGCTCCAAAGCATGTCGGAACACTTTAACTAAACAACAAACGAAGTCACTGTATATGCGTATCAACCGAAAGCCTGGTTCCGTATTTTGTACATTGTTTTTATGAAAATACTTTTGTTTTTTTAATTGGCGGTGAATACATTTGTCGAAGTTTATGAAAACTTCAGTTCCAGATGCGGTTAATTCAAACACTGTACGTTACGTAGAACTGTCGACAAATGTCCCCCAAATACACGACGTCAGGGGGAAAAAGCGACATTTCCACTAAATAACCGACGTTAAGGCGAAAAAGCGACATTTCCCCTTTATTTCCCCTTTCGTCCGCTTTATTTCCCCTTTTTTCCCCTTTATTTCCCCTTTTTGTGTTGCTTGGGGTTGCTGTCATACATTATAAGATAACGATAAGTATGTTTGGTGTTTATTTCTAAACCATACATCTATCACTGACCATATTTCATGATCACTGTCATTAAACAATTTCCCCAGCAATAACATCGGTAGCTCAGACACGTGTCTGAGCTTCTAGTTGCCCGCAAAACAGCAGTATACAGTTTTAGAAGATGAGTGTTCTGTGTCTCAATTAAATGCAGCTGGCTGTGGACAAATGTTAAGAATCTTTTTGACAATTGGGACTTTTAGTTTATCAGATACTTAATCTGCTTGTATGTTTTCCTGTTAAACTGGACGCAGATGCATGGGAATACTTAAATGGGAGCAAAATAATAAAAGCATTGCAATACGGTACTAAGCCCATGTTACGCTTTGCGCAAGTAATAGTAGCTGACCTTATCTAATATTCATGAACTCAAGGTAAATCACAACTGCATAAATTCTTTGCTAAAAAACATGTGATTTGGTTATTTATCTATTCCACATTTCTGACTAAATTCATCACCATTTTTTCATTTAGAATGCAACAGGAGTGAGTCTTCACAGATCATAAAAACTGTTTCGGCCTTGGAACTATGGCCCTATGGAACTGTTTACGGGCGACCCAACAAACAGCAGATTATAAAAAGGATGCTGGACGTCCATTTTAGTCTCACAACCTGTTCCAGTATTTTTTGACTTCTTTTACTCTTTCGTTTGGAAAAATACAACAAAAACTGCAGCTTAACATTACCAATACAACTTTTAAACGGGAACTTGGTTTAAACCTTTGTTTGATATTCGATTCTTAATGATAGTTCCTCAATAAATTTTTGAATATTATGCTACTTTGTTTTATCTACTTAATCGCTGCAAGAAACTTGAGATAAGCGAGCCTCTCAGCACCTAGTTCATGTGTTCAAATGGTTATAGACTGAATAGGAGAAGCTTTTGCTTAACAGGCTTCCGTCTCTAGAAGCAGGGGATCACCAATACCTCAAGGCAGGAAACTAGGTATGTTAACAACAAAAGGAATTGGTAAATCATAGTATGATACTATTTTTAGTCCTTAAGAATAGATGCAGTTGCCTCTTAAAGGACTCCTGGGAAGTCGCTTGGACTAGCCCCGCCGGCAGAAAATTCCAGCATTTGACAACTCTTAAGGGGTAGTTGTGCCTACAGTTCGTTCTGCTATGTTGTGTCTCTAGTTTCTGGGTGTTACCCCTTAGGTTAGTGTTGGAACTAAGCTTAATTAGGGGTTTTAGGGGATGTCCAGAAGTGTTAAGGTTATTGTAAGCCATTAGGTCACCTCTAAGATGTCTATACTGTAATGAGTAGAGGTTAAGTGATTGAAGGCGCTCTTCATAAGGTGATTTGGTGCATATCCTCGTCATTTCCTTGGGAGACCTACAGACTCGGGTCCTCTCATAGCTTATTCTAACCACCATGGGTTGTCACGCCAGCTGATGGATGGACACGCGTTACACATCCTAACCGTACCTGCGTCTTATCTTATAGCTTCTAATCCAAATGCCATATGACAAAAAAGCAATGCCCCTACCCGCACTAATGGAACACTAGTAACTCAAATGCACCCCGTACGGTACCTTACACTGGTTTACGCACTCGCTTAGCTCTTTAGTGAGAATATTTATACCGTCCTGCTGAAAATCCCATGAACCCCCATACCTCCATCAAAACAAATAAGTCTGTATTTGCAGTATATAGCAATTTTATTATTCAAAAGTAAGATATAACAGTTAGAATAGGAGTAAAATGGCAGTATACAGCAGATGCACGTGGTACATGTCTTCATCGATTAACTGAAATAGAGAATACGGATATTAGCTTAACAGGCTTATTTAGAAAGACTAGTGTCTAATTTGAACTTACTGCGTGAGAAAGTTATACTGGAACTACGAATGTTGTAGAAATAGAGCTTCTCGGGGCGTACGAAGCACTCAGACTGTAAGACAGTTGTCCAAAAATAATTCGAATATGGAGGTGAAAATTTGCAGGTACTTTTCATCGTGAGGGTGAACATATTAGGTACCAGTTGACATCATACCGTAAGAAAACGCATATTTGCGAGTGGTGAAATATGATCTATAAAAAAGTGAGCTTAATAACAGTTAATTACCGTTTTACTCCCTGATCATGACCCTTCGGCTTCCTTTTATGGCCAAAACAGCAAACATACACTAGACACTGGTAGCAGATTTCCGCCTTTCCATGTTAAGCTTGCTTTAACGCATTGAGTAATGAGTACAACCCCTTTATTACTGTTATATGGCATATTTTTCATAACAAACCCTCTGCAATAGATTGGTAGCATCTTTGATTTCATCTATAGTTGTCGGAAGTCTGGGTACTTTCGAAATCCGTACCGATATACCCTACTGCTGGGCACTCTGTATTAGTTTGACTCGTTGGTGGGATAGTGTTGTCCATACTACTGAAGAAAATTAAAAAAACGCAGACTGTTTCCTTTCATTTTGCCGATAACATCATAAAGGACAGTTAGGAACGAACATGCGAACAGTTAGTCACAGGCGGCAGCAACAATTATTTTAGCTAAATGAAAACGAACTTCGGCTTCGGATATCTAGAAAACAAGGTAAAACATAACCGATTGTCGTTTGAAAACGTAAGGTCTTATGTTAGTACTATCCAGCTTAACTGAATAAATACAGTGACTTTATTAGCAGCAGGTAAAACCCAGAAAACAATGCAAAATCAGGAAAAACTTTGCTCCAACGTTCAGAGTATTACACTAACTTCTGAATTCTAGCACAATGAAACATCAAATTCCGTAACTACACAAAAGAAATAGCGGAAAAAACACAGAACGAAGAAAGCCGACCGCCATTGCTTACAAAGATGGCAGATGTAATAATTCCCGCCTCATTCTGATTGGTTGCTAAGCTGAAGGGCACATTTACGAAATTGAGTTGCGTTTAATTGCAGCCGTTGAACACCGCAATTTTCAGAAAGGGGATGTAGTGATCGTGGCTTCGGACATATCGACTCGTGGAAAATGGCCTTTAGAAGATTGTGAAATAGATGACGACGGAAGAGTTAGAACAGTGGTTGTTCGTACGAACAGTGGATTAGTCAGGAGAGATATACGTAGATTATGCCTCCTTGAAGGCTCGAATTAGTTCCTCGTATTATCAGTGTAGGTAGGTCGAGTAGGCGTACTGTTGTAAGTCCTACTCGTTCCTGTAGTGTGATATGTTATATAATGAACCATGACCATAGACATCAAGGTAGCTTGTGTGATATGGAGGGATTTTGGGGGCCGGTATAAGATCCATTTTGAATGTTTTGTGTTGGTGAAAATCCCTCCATGCATATACTTGTACTTTGTTCCTATTGATCCCCTTAGTTGTACATTGTTGTATTTTGATTACATTTGAATTGTTAATACTTGTATTTTCTATTATAGTTTTTGTTTTTCTTACGCATTCACTAAGTTTGTGTTTCTTCCTGAACTGCATCTGCGTTGTTTTACTTGACATTTGTTCTTGGCGGTAGCCATATTGATTTGTTCCTCCTGTTGTGTGTGATCTATCCAGTCAGGATAGAATAACGTTCATTTGTTGTGACTGGTAATTTTCCCTCATCTTCTATCAACTTCTTTATTTATTGTAATTTAGATTTGATTGGTTGAACAATTATTGGTTGAATAGCCGGGTGGTAATATTTGTTTAGGTATCGATTTACATTAAATTATTATGAATTATAGAGCCGCTATTTACCCGATTATTTGTTTTGATTTCGACGGGAAAGGGTGCGTTTCTAAAGTCCCCGGTCGGCTATTCTTCAACATCCAAACCGTAGTTTGGATTCTACATTCTGCCCATCGATCCAATCTCCTGAATTGAGAATGTATAATATGTCCGTCCTTCTCTGAGAGTGTTTCGCTAACAGTCGGTTTCCTAATACCGGTTTCCTTAACAAGTCTGAACAATTGTCTGCTATTACCTTTCGCCGCTCCTCATTATGTTCAGAGCCAGGTGGAATGAGTTTCCGAGCATCTATCAGTGCGATATATGCTGCTGAGATCCAGTGTTTCTCCCTAACCTCGTGGTTTACCGTACTAGCAGATATCACTGCTGCTTCCACAGCTTTTTGGATATCATTCCATGCTGCCTCGGGGTGGGCATCACATACATGGCTGCCTAACTGTTTTTCTAGTTGTTCCTGAAAGATACTCTTAGCTTGACTATCATTAAGTAGGGCCCCAAGAGGTTTCCTTGCAGCGTCTTTCCTACGTCCAGTAAGACGCAGGTAAATACGCGCTCGCACTAGAACATGATCTGAATCTAAACATGTGCTCCAGAATGAGCGACAGTCTTCTATCGAGCTCCTCCATCGGTGGCTGATAGCGATGTGATGTATTTGGGTCCAACGTTGGGACGAATTAGGGGGTCGCCATGTTATAAGAGGTTTTTCCTTATGCTTAAAGTTAGTATTTGCAAGAAAGAGGCGGTTATCTGAGCATAGCTGCAACAGGTGGTCGCCATTATCTGTTCTTTGAG